TCCTTCTATACCTATTTTATTGAGTGGTTTTTTAAATCATAAATGGATGTTGTCTTTTGTCATTATGCTAATTGAAATAAGCTAGTCACAAAAAGAGAAATACTTTTTGATTCCATTCATATGAGTGGTCAAATTAAATAGAATAAGAGGTAGAATGCTTCTGGCTAAGTCATAGCAGAGAGAGAAATAGGGAATTTTTGTTTAATGGATATACAGATTTGGTTGGGCAAGATGAAAAATTTCTGGAGATTAGTTGTGCAACAATGTGAATATACATAATTCTACTTAACTGTGCACTTTAAAATGGATGAGATGATAAAATTTAAGTTTTTTTTTTTTTTTACCATAAAGAAGCTGATACACTGTCTGACCCCTCCTTAATTCTCAGAAATTATTTCCTGCAGACTGTTTTTCCAGCCGTCACCCCAGAATTTCTATACCCCAGGGCACTTAGGAAAGAGAAAAATGTAAGGAATTTGTTTAGAAATTAAGCTTGGCTTTCTTGCAGCAGAAGTGAGAGTATTTCATTAATTTAGTAGCTTCCTTTATTGTGTCCAATTAATTAAAAAACATTCATTTTTAAGTTGTCCAACAAATTGTTTATATCATAACCTCACCATAGAAATTGTTTCCAGGATCACAAATTTCAAGTTCCCAAATCAATGAATATATTAATATATCAGTTCTCATTTTACTTGACCATTCTAGGACACTTGAACTTTGAAATTTTGGTAACATTGTCTTTTCAAGAGCATGGACTTGCAGACAGAACCAGGTTTCAAATCTCATTTCTACCACCTTTTTGTTAGGTGACTATGGATAGAAATTTTAAATGTAAGTTTTCTCAATAATCTCTCCTTGATTCTCATTCTCTGCCCTCTCATTTCAGTCATGCCTACAGCTTCATTCATAATGGCAAACATTTATTGAATCCTTATTGTGTGCGAGGCACCATTCTAAGCACTTTTCGGGTATCAACTCAATCTTCACAGCAATGTTAAAATAGGTACTGTCATCTATAATTTTTAGATGAGGAAAACAGAGGCAGAGAAATCCTGAGTAAGTTGACCAAGGTACACAACAAAATAATGGCAAAGCTGAGAAACTGCCTAGACAGCATCTGCCATCCGAGCCTGAACTTTTTTTAAATTTATTTTTAAAAAAGCCTTGCCCAAGGACATGTTTTTATTTATTTTAGAGAGAGAGAAAGTGGGGGGAGGGAGAGATATTGGTTGCTTCCTATATACACATCGACTGGGGATCGAACCTGCAACCTAGGTATGTGCCGTGACCAGGAATTGAATCTGCAAAATCTTTTGGTGTATGGGATGATGCTCCAACCAACTGAGCCACCTGGGCAGGGCCAGAGCCTGAACTTGTAGCAAGTTCAGCGAATTACCTATGTACAGATGGCTCAAGGAAAGCTCACCTGAATCTCTCTCGGGACTCTCAAGCTCAAGATGTTTAAAACTGATCTTACATTTCTCCTTCTCTAATCTTATTCCCTACTTAAATGAATGGCCTCATCCTTTATGCAACTGTCCAAGATAGAATCCTAGAAATAACCCTAGATTTTTTCGTTTTATACCTCTAGATTTAATTGATGACCAAATTCTGTTGCCCTTATTGTTTATTAATCTAGTTCAGACTCTCATTTTATTTCTCCCTTGGGCAACCTCCTTCTTACAGGCAGGCATATTTACTTCTTTGCTTCTCTAGGCCATCCGAAATTATTTAAAGTAGGTATTTGATTAAGGTATTTCCCTTCTTATAATGATGGGGGAGTCAAGAGTTGGAAAATTTTAATTTAGGTAATAGCTAATAAGCTTAGTAATCAGTGCATATAAAAAGCTGTTGTCCCAGGAACTGAAGGTATGGCCCACTTCGACTCCAGGAGACCACATGCAATTGACCTTTGTGCTCCAGAAGAGAGCATAAGTAATCAAGGTGGTATCTGAACCATTGTGTCCCAGGGTAAAGGCCATCTTCCAGGACACAGATGAAAGAATTCTGCATCTTTTATCTGATTAATTTTTTTCTTGAATTCCAACTTTTCTTCTTATAAAAAGGGTCCCTTTAAAATGGAATTTTAAGATGTTCTGTTAGGGTACATAACCCACTGTCTTCTCAGATCGCTGGCCGTCTGAATAAAGTGCCCATAAAGATTCAATCCCTGTCTCTGCGTATTGGGTCTGGTAGGTGACAGGCAGCATGATCTCTGGCTTTTCTGTTTCAATAAGGCTTCAGCATCTTATCCACTGGGCAAAATATAAATAGACATTTGTAGTGAGAGCAATAGAACAGTATTTTTCATATTCTCTGAGGTGAAAGATCAGAGTTCTTTAACTTGCTGTCTGTCATAAGTGGATACTTAAAATAAGTCCTCACATGCTTGGATATTGCACCGATGCCAAATTGTATTAAAAAGTTTCTAATGTTTGCCCTCAATTTCTGTGCTTGTCTTTTTGTGTACCAGTAACAGTTTGCAGACAAATGCAATGCGGACCCACACTTTAAGAAGTCTTATTACATGTGACTGCAAAGTCTGATTGTGAATGATACTGTTGGTTGGGTTTTTTCTCCCTATTCTATTGCTCTGTATCATTTGCCCAACTGATAAAGTTGTTAGGAATTGATATGCTTTGGAGAAAGGTTTTGTAGAAGTAAGGAAAAAACAGGAAGATAGAGTCTGCCTCTTAAGATTGTCCTAGTTAGAGAATAACTGAAAATTTAGTCATTTTGCATGAAAATAGTTGATTTGCATGTGAGGAAGTTGGTTGACTGAGCTAAGGAACAATCAAAAACAAGTTTTCCAAGGCAAGGAGAGAGGACAGAAAAAAATTATAGCCTGGGATGTTCCCTGTGAATTTTGTTTGCAACTTTTTTGGGCAAACAGTTCTCTGTCAGCTAACAAAGAGGAATGTCTGTTATTTCTATCATCAGGAAGACAGGGATATGAAAAAAAAACAATTTCGGTTGTTTGTTTATGGGTTCTTCACAAAACATTGAGAGTTTCACCTAGAGGTGTATACATTTGGTTATCTGTTTTGCCCATCAATCCATCCACCTCTGTTAGCTAGGTCTGCACTATCTCTTTCATTCTTTACCTAATTCTTCAACCTGTCAGTTAGGCCTGACTCCTCTGGAGAAGGGCTTCAGGCAGGAGCTGAATTAGCTTGTTGTGAGACTGTAGGCAAGGTGAAAAATAGTCACCTAGAAAGGAAAGAGGCATTGTTTCCATGTCTGTGCCTCTGTCAACTCAGTGAGGACTGGAGGTTCAGCGCCTTCTGGATTTTGCAGCTTGTATGGGAATTTAGGGGCAGCACTTTAAGCAGGTAAGCAGGAGACCAGTAGATCGGTCAGATCCCCTTGGAGTGGCTTGTGGAGTTCAAACATAAACATGGTATTGTTTGAGTCTAATGAGAAAAGTGAGGTTGTTACTTTTTATTTACTCTCTGTCCATACTGGGGATCATATAAACTTTGACAATTTTATTTTAGCTTGATTTATAAAAGGAAAAGTGAAAAAAAGACAGCTCTTGTTAGTGCTTTTAAAAAAAATACCCCATGAAACAGAGCTAGGAGACTTGAGCTTTAAATGCTGTTTTGTTGTAGGTTATTGGTGTGATAGACTCATCTGTAAAATGTGAACATTGGCCTAGCTATTACTGTAATCCCTGGTCTCCGAGTAAACAGAAGGAACCTTGGGTGCAATTCACACAGAGGAATACTCCTTCTAATGGTACAACCTTGTCCACATATTTCCTTTTTTTGTTGTTGTTGTTGTTTTTTTTTTTGTTAATCTCTTCATCCACTGGGCTAACTCATAAAATACATGAGTTTTCTATTCAGGCAGGATATGTTTCCTTTATTGCTTTTCCTTTGTCAAGATATATCAGCACAATTTCTCTGCTCTCATTAGTCTCCTTTGGAAAACATCTCCTTGTGTCTTTGGGAGAAGGCCCTATAGTCAGTAATTCATGTTTCCTGATATTGGTTTGACTTCATGAATAGCCACCTGGGTGGTTGTTTTGATAATAATTAAGATTCTGTACAAAATTGAGATAAGTCTTTTTCTACCCTGCTGGAGACAGTGTGGAAAAATGATGACACCAAAGAAAAACAGAAGAGTAAATTAAACACTTTCTTCTTCGGACTTACTACTTTTGCAGGCTGTGTAACTGGGATTTAGTCATATAATTTCTAGTGATAAAAGAAAAAGATGTAATTCAGGCCATGGGGAAAAAAGTCTTTTGGAGTTTATAAGAAATAAGCAGAGAAGACACAGGCTGTGGTATATGATCAATTGTTTATTTCCCAATATCATGCAGTTTACTTTTATGAATTCTATGACTAAATGTGATTCTAATGAATGCAGAATAATACACGATTTCAGTAGAGTCATAATAGAGGCATACTGACTGAGCCATGAGAGTAGTATAGGAGCTATGGCCCCTAAAACAATGATTTTATAATTTTGAGTAGTTTGATATTTGTGGCAAAGATTGTAGTACTAATCTGCAGAGTTTCTGAATTTTATCTCCTCAAAAAAATCATTGCATGAACTCCAGTCTTCCAAAATACACAGACTTTTAGTTTAGCTGTCCATAACATTGATTCTCCCATTCACCATTTTATACCTATAAAGATCAAAGCTTCCTAGAATATAAGAAGAAACTATCAGCAAGTAAAGATATGGTATATTATACTTAAAACATAAAGATAAGAAAAGATAAACAGTGAAAATATAATGAAAATTTGATTAAAATTTGTGTTATTGGTTAATTCTCCTACTCCTTGGATTAATTACTTTTCTATTGTCTTCTCATTCATAATATAGTATCTTTGAGAATGACAAACTCCCAGCTGATTTAAAATAACACCCGACTGACCACACTTTACAGGATGTATGTAATTGCCAAATATATTGGATAGTCTAAAGTCATCTCCATTTACAGATCTGACTCTGACTACCACATAACTGGCTTGAGAGCTGACATTTCAAGCCTCTGAATAATTGGATTGACTAATACAGGATGCCCGGTGTCTACTGTGACCAAAATGTGCTGAAAATGTCAGTGGACATTCTGTCTCACAGCTCTCACCACCTGCTTCATATTGCCCTTGCTCTTGTCCACAGCTGAACCTTGACAGATTACATGGATAGTCAAACTGTCTATACGTGGCTATGTGACTATGGTGAGATCCCGAGTCACTGGATGTATCTCCCGACAGGTCACGGGCAGGCTCACTGTGGTGCCTTGGACTGGACCCGGTCCTGTCACGGGTGGAGGCGGAGGGCCCACGTGAACCTTCAGACTGCCCGTCGCTGTCGCTGGCCTGAGTACTGTGGGTCCCCTGGTGCCTGGTTGCCCTGGATCTGGGAGACGATGGGCCGTGTCCAGCGTCTGAGTGTCTGGAGCTGTCTGGTGAGCGCTCATGCCGGGAATCTTGTCTCTCTCTTGAGCTCGACCCTGACTGCCCGTGGGATGGGACATTGTGTCCAGGAGACGATGTGCCTGCCTGACGAGGCGCTGGTTGTCTGGTGCGGTCTACAGATTGCCTGTGACTAGATCCTTGTCTTCTATTGGCTCCTGAGTCTGAATGTTCCTGGGCGGACTCAGATGGCCCGTGACTGGCGCTCTGCCCTCGATGGGACCCAGAATGTCCAGAGCCAGAGCTGTCTCCCGACTGGCCACGGGCAGATCCATGGCGGTCTCCTGAACCAGACCTCGACTGCGTCTCTGAATCTTCTGAGAGTCCTTCACTATCACTGTGTTGACCGGAGCTGGGCCCTTCGTTTCTGCTTGCCCTGGATGCGGGTGATGAGGGTGCGTGCCCAGACTGTGAGTGGCGGGAGCTGCCCCCTGCTTGTGCCTGGCTAGATCTGTGAGTGTTTGCACTTCTGGATCCTGACCGACCATGGTGGGCATCAGCATGACCCTGGGAGGCTGGGTGTTGGCGTTGCGACCCCGCATGTCTAGAGCTGTCTCTTTCCTGCTCCTGGCGGGATCCCTGTTTCCCTCTAGTGCTGGATCCGGACCTTCCACGGGAGGACTCAGAGTGCCCGCCAGTGGATGGCTGACCCTCCTGCGACCCCGTGTGTCTGGCGCTGTCCTCTGTCTGCCCAGGGTGGGATCCCTGCCTTCCCCTGGTACTGGACCGGGTCTGCCCATGGGCAGAATCGGGCTGTTGATGCCAGGACATCTGGTAGGGATAAGACCCCGAGTGGCCAGCCCTGTCACCTGAGTGACCACGTGCGCCCTCGTGTTGTTTACTTTGACTGGACCCAGACCGTCCGTGGGCTGACCCTGACTGCCTGACTGAGTCTCCTGATGGTCCTTCACTGTCACTGGCCTGGCTGATACTGGATCCTCGGTGTCTGCTGTTACTGGGTCCAGATGAGGTTTGTCCGTGCCCGGTCGCTGAGTGTCCGGAGCTCTCTTCCGCCCGTTCATGGCGGCGTCCCTGTCCGTGTGTACTGCTGGACCCTGACTGTCGTCCACGGGCAGACTCAGACTGCCCGCGGGCGGCTGCTTGCCCTTGGGGCGACCCCGAGTGCCTCGAGCTGTCTCCTGACTGTCCGTGGGCAGACGCATGTTGATGCCTTGAACTGGACCCAGGCCCCGTGTGGGTCGAGGCGGACCGCCTACCTGGCTCCCCAGACTGTCTTTCGCTGTTGCTGGCCTGAGGACTCTGGGTTCCCTGGTGGCTGGTTGACGTGGCTCTGGAAGACGATGGTCCGTGGCCGGTGGCTGAGTGTCTGGAGCTGTCTGGTGAGTGCTCAGGTCGTGGTTCTTGTCTCCCTCTTGAGCTCGATCCTGACTGCCCATGGGGTGGGACGTCGTGTCCTCGAGAGGATGTCTCTGCTTGATGAGACCCCGATCGCCTAGAGCTGTCGGCAGACTGTCCGTGAGAAGGTCCTTGTCCCCCCCTGGCACCGGAGTCCGAGTGTTCGCGGGCATCCGCAGAGTGGCCACGAGGGGGCTCTCTGCCCTTGACGGGTACCAGAGCGTCTAGAGCTGTCTCCCGACTGGTCACGGGCAGGCTCACTGTGGTGCCTTGGACTGGACCCGGTCCTGTCACGGGTGGAGGCGGAGGGCCCACGTGAACCTTCAGACTGCCCGTCGCTGTCGCTGGCCTGAGTACTGTGGGTCCCCTGGTGCCTGGTTGCCCTGGATCTGGGAGACGATGGGCCGTGTCCAGCGTCTGAGTGTCTGGAGCTGTCTGGTGAGCGCTCATGCCGGGAATCTTGTCTCTCTCTTGAGCTCGACCCTGACTGCCCGTGGGATGGGACATTGTGTCCAGGAGACGATGTGCCTGCCTGACGAGGCGCTGGTTGTCTGGTGCGGTCTACAGATTGCCTGTGACTAGATCCTTGTCTTCTATTGGCTCCTGAGTCTGAATGTTCCTGGGCGGACTCAGATGGCCCGTGACTGGCGCTCTGCCCTCGATGGGACCCAGAATGTCCAGAGCCAGAGCTGTCTCCCGACTGGCCACGGGCAGATCCATGGCGGTCTCCTGAACCAGACCTCGACTGCGTCTCTGAATCTTCTGAGAGTCCTTCACTATCACTGTGTTGACCGGAGCTGGGCCCTTCGTTTCTGCTTGCCCTGGATGCGGGTGATGAGGGTGCGTGCCCAGACTGTGAGTGGCGGGAGCTGCCCCCTGCTTGTGCCTGGCTAGATCTGTGAGTGTTTGCACTTCTGGATCCTGACCGACCATGGTGGGCATCAGCATGACCCTGGGAGGCTGGGTGTTGGCGTTGCGACCCCGCATGTCTAGAGCTGTCTCTTTCCTGCTCCTGGCGGGATCCCTGTTTCCCTCTAGTGCTGGATCCGGACCTTCCACGGGAGGACTCAGAGTGCCCGCCAGTGGATGGCTGACCCTCCTGCGACCCCGTGTGTCTGGCGCTGTCCTCTGTCTGCCCAGGGTGGGATCCCTGCCTTCCCCTGGTACTGGACCGGGTCTGCCCATGGGCAGAATCGGGCTGTTGATGCCAGGACATCTGGTAGGGATAAGACCCCGAGTGGCCAGCCCTGTCACCTGAGTGACCACGTGCGCCCTCGTGTTGTTTACTTTGACTGGACCCAGACCGTCCGTGGGCTGACCCTGACTGCCTGACTGAGTCTCCTGATGGTCCTTCACTGTCACTGGCCTGGCTGATACTGGATCCTCGGTGTCTGCTGTTACTGGGTCCAGATGAGGTTTGTCCGTGCCCGGTCGCTGAGTGTCCGGAGCTCTCTTCCGCCCGTTCATGGCGGCGTCCCTGTCCGTGTGTACTGCTGGACCCTGACTGTCGTCCACGGGCAGACTCAGACTGCCCGCGGGCGGCTGCTTGCCCTTGGGGCGACCCCGAGTGCCTCGAGCTGTCTCCTGACTGTCCGTGGGCAGACGCATGTTGATGCCTTGAACTGGACCCAGGCCCCGTGTGGGTCGAGGCGGACCGCCTACCTGGCTCCCCAGACTGTCTTTCGCTGTTGCTGGCCTGAGGACTCTGGGTTCCCTGGTGGCTGGTTGACGTGGCTCTGGAAGACGATGGTCCGTGGCCGGTGGCTGAGTGTCTGGAGCTGTCTGGTGAGTGCTCAGGTCGTGGTTCTTGTCTCCCTCTTGAGCTCGATCCTGACTGCCCATGGGGTGGGACGTCGTGTCCTCGAGAGGATGTCTCTGCTTGATGAGACCCCGATCGCCTAGAGCTGTCGGCAGACTGTCCGTGAGAAGGTCCTTGTCCCCCCCTGGCACCGGAGTCCGAGTGTTCGCGGGCATCCGCAGAGTGGCCACGAGGGGCTCTCTGCCCTTGACGGGTACCAGAGCGTCTAGAGCTGTCTCCCGACTGGTCACGGGCAGGCTCACTGTGGTGCCTTGGACTGGACCCGGTCCTGTCACGGGTGGAGGCGGAGGGCCCACGTGAACCTTCAGACTGCCCGTCGCTGTCGCTGGCCTGAGTACTGTGGGTCCCCTGGTGCCTGGTTGCCCTGGATCTGGGAGACGATGGGCCGTGTCCAGCGTCTGAGTGTCTGGAGCTGTCTGGTGAGCGCTCATGCCGGGAATCTTGTCTCTCTCTTGAGCTCGACCCTGACTGCCCGTGGGATGGGACATTGTGTCCAGGAGACGATGTGCCTGCCTGACGAGGCGCTGGTTGTCTGGTGCGGTCTACAGATTGCCTGTGACTAGATCCTTGTCTTCTATTGGCTCCTGAGTCTGAATGTTCCTGGGCGGACTCAGATGGCCCGTGACTGGCGCTCTGCCCTCGATGGGACCCAGAATGTCCAGAGCCAGAGCTGTCTCCCGACTGGCCACGGGCAGATCCATGGCGGTCTCCTGAACCAGACCTCGACTGCGTCTCTGAATCTTCTGAGAGTCCTTCACTATCACTGTGTTGACCGGAGCTGGGCCCTTCGTTTCTGCTTGCCCTGGATGCGGGTGATGAGGGTGCGTGCCCAGACTGTGAGTGGCGGGAGCTGCCCCCTGCTTGTGCCTGGCTAGATCTGTGAGTGTTTGCACTTCTGGATCCTGACCGACCATGGTGGGCATCAGCATGACCCTGGGAGGCTGGGTGTTGGCGTTGCGACCCCGCATGTCTAGAGCTGTCTCTTTCCTGCTCCTGGCGGGATCCCTGTTTCCCTCTAGTGCTGGATCCGGACCTTCCACGGGAGGACTCAGAGTGCCCGCCAGTGGATGGCTGACCCTCCTGCGACCCCGTGTGTCTGGCGCTGTCCTCTGTCTGCCCAGGGTGGGATCCCTGCCTTCCCCTGGTACTGGACCGGGTCTGCCCATGGGCAGAATCGGGCTGTTGATGCCAGGACATCTGGTAGGGATAAGACCCCGAGTGGCCAGCCCTGTCACCTGAGTGACCACGTGCGCCCTCGTGTTGTTTACTTTGACTGGACCCAGACCGTCCGTGGGCTGACCCTGACTGCCTGACTGAGTCTCCTGATGGTCCTTCACTGTCACTGGCCTGGCTGATACTGGATCCTCGGTGTCTGCTGTTACTGGGTCCAGATGAGGTTTGTCCGTGCCCGGTCGCTGAGTGTCCGGAGCTCTCTTCCGCCCGTTCATGGCGGCGTCCCTGTCCGTGTGTACTGCTGGACCCTGACTGTCGTCCACGGGCAGACTCAGACTGCCCGCGGGCGGCTGCTTGCCCTTGGGGCGACCCCGAGTGCCTCGAGCTGTCTCCTGACTGTCCGTGGGCAGACGCATGTTGATGCCTTGAACTGGACCCAGGCCCCGTGTGGGTCGAGGCGGACCGCCTACCTGGCTCCCCAGACTGTCTTTCGCTGTTGCTGGCCTGAGGACTCTGGGTTCCCTGGTGGCTGGTTGACGTGGCTCTGGAAGACGATGGTCCGTGGCCGGTGGCTGAGTGTCTGGAGCTGTCTGGTGAGTGCTCAGGTCGTGGTTCTTGTCTCCCTCTTGAGCTCGATCCTGACTGCCCATGGGGTGGGACGTCGTGTCCTCGAGAGGATGTCTCTGCTTGATGAGACCCCGATCGCCTAGAGCTGTCGGCAGACTGTCCGTGAGAAGGTCCTTGTCCCCCCCTGGCACCGGAGTCCGAGTGTTCGCGGGCATCCGCAGAGTGGCCACGAGGGGCTCTCTGCCCTTGACGGGTACCAGAGCGTCTAGAGCTGTCTCCCGACTGGTCACGGGCAGGCTCACTGTGGTGCCTTGGACTGGACCCGGTCCTGTCACGGGTGGAGGCGGAGGGCCCACGTGAACCTTCAGACTGCCCGTCGCTGTCGCTGGCCTGAGTACTGTGGGTCCCCTGGTGCCTGGTTGCCCTGGATCTGGGAGACGATGGGCCGTGTCCAGCGTCTGAGTGTCTGGAGCTGTCTGGTGAGCGCTCATGCCGGGAATCTTGTCTCTCTCTTGAGCTCGACCCTGACTGCCCGTGGGATGGGACATTGTGTCCAGGAGACGATGTGCCTGCCTGACGAGGCGCTGGTTGTCTGGTGCGGTCTACAGATTGCCTGTGACTAGATCCTTGTCTTCTATTGGCTCCTGAGTCTGAATGTTCCTGGGCGGACTCAGATGGCCCGTGACTGGCGCTCTGCCCTCGATGGGACCCAGAATGTCCAGAGCCAGAGCTGTCTCCCGACTGGCCACGGGCAGATCCATGGCGGTCTCCTGAACCAGACCTCGACTGCGTCTCTGAATCTTCTGAGAGTCCTTCACTATCACTGTGTTGACCGGAGCTGGGCCCTTCGTTTCTGCTTGCCCTGGATGCGGGTGATGAGGGTGCGTGCCCAGACTGTGAGTGGCGGGAGCTGCCCCCTGCTTGTGCCTGGCTAGATCTGTGAGTGTTTGCACTTCTGGATCCTGACCGACCATGGTGGGCATCAGCATGACCCTGGGAGGCTGGGTGTTGGCGTTGCGACCCCGCATGTCTAGAGCTGTCTCTTTCCTGCTCCTGGCGGGATCCCTGTTTCCCTCTAGTGCTGGATCCGGACCTTCCACGGGAGGACTCAGAGTGCCCGCCAGTGGATGGCTGACCCTCCTGCGACCCCGTGTGTCTGGCGCTGTCCTCTGTCTGCCCAGGGTGGGATCCCTGCCTTCCCCTGGTACTGGACCGGGTCTGCCCATGGGCAGAATCGGGCTGTTGATGCCAGGACATCTGGTAGGGATAAGACCCCGAGTGGCCAGCCCTGTCACCTGAGTGACCACGTGCGCCCTCGTGTTGTTTACTTTGACTGGACCCAGACCGTCCGTGGGCTGACCCTGACTGCCTGACTGAGTCTCCTGATGGTCCTTCACTGTCACTGGCCTGGCTGATACTGGATCCTCGGTGTCTGCTGTTACTGGGTCCAGATGAGGTTTGTCCGTGCCCGGTCGCTGAGTGTCCGGAGCTCTCTTCCGCCCGTTCATGGCGGCGTCCCTGTCCGTGTGTACTGCTGGACCCTGACTGTCGTCCACGGGCAGACTCAGACTGCCCGCGGGCGGCTGCTTGCCCTTGGGGCGACCCCGAGTGCCTCGAGCTGTCTCCTGACTGTCCGTGGGCAGACGCATGTTGATGCCTTGAACTGGACCCAGGCCCCGTGTGGGTCGAGGCGGACCGCCTACCTGGCTCCCCAGACTGTCTTTCGCTGTTGCTGGCCTGAGGACTCTGGGTTCCCTGGTGGCTGGTTGACGTGGCTCTGGAAGACGATGGTCCGTGGCCGGTGGCTGAGTGTCTGGAGCTGTCTGGTGAGTGCTCAGGTCGTGGTTCTTGTCTCCCTCTTGAGCTCGATCCTGACTGCCCATGGGGTGGGACGTCGTGTCCTCGAGAGGATGTCTCTGCTTGATGAGACCCCGATCGCCTAGAGCTGTCGGCAGACTGTCCGTGAGAAGGTCCTTGTCCCCCCCTGGCACCGGAGTCCGAGTGTTCGCGGGCATCCGCAGAGTGGCCACGAGGGGCTCTCTGCCCTTGACGGGTACCAGAGCGTCTAGAGCTGTCTCCCGACTGGTCACGGGCAGGCTCACTGTGGTGCCTTGGACTGGACCCGGTCCTGTCACGGGTGGAGGCGGAGGGCCCACGTGAACCTTCAGACTGCCCGTCGCTGTCGCTGGCCTGAGTACTGTGGGTCCCCTGGTGCCTGGTTGCCCTGGATCTGGGAGACGATGGGCCGTGTCCAGCGTCTGAGTGTCTGGAGCTGTCTGGTGAGCGCTCATGCCGGGAATCTTGTCTCTCTCTTGAGCTCGACCCTGACTGCCCGTGGGATGGGACATTGTGTCCAGGAGACGATGTGCCTGCCTGACGAGGCGCTGGTTGTCTGGTGCGGTCTACAGATTGCCTGTGACTAGATCCTTGTCTTCTATTGGCTCCTGAGTCTGAATGTTCCTGGGCGGACTCAGATGGCCCGTGACTGGCGCTCTGCCCTCGATGGGACCCAGAATGTCCAGAGCCAGAGCTGTCTCCCGACTGGCCACGGGCAGATCCATGGCGGTCTCCTGAACCAGACCTCGACTGCGTCTCTGAATCTTCTGAGAGTCCTTCACTATCACTGTGTTGACCGGAGCTGGGCCCTTCGTTTCTGCTTGCCCTGGATGCGGGTGATGAGGGTGCGTGCCCAGACTGTGAGTGGCGGGAGCTGCCCCCTGCTTGTGCCTGGCTAGATCTGTGAGTGTTTGCACTTCTGGATCCTGACCGACCATGGTGGGCATCAGCATGACCCTGGGAGGCTGGGTGTTGGCGTTGCGACCCCGCATGTCTAGAGCTGTCTCTTTCCTGCTCCTGGCGGGATCCCTGTTTCCCTCTAGTGCTGGATCCGGACCTTCCACGGGAGGACTCAGAGTGCCCGCCAGTGGATGGCTGACCCTCCTGCGACCCCGTGTGTCTGGCGCTGTCCTCTGTCTGCCCAGGGTGGGATCCCTGCCTTCCCCTGGTACTGGACCGGGTCTGCCCATGGGCAGAATCGGGCTGTTGATGCCAGGACATCTGGTAGGGATAAGACCCCGAGTGGCCAGCCCTGTCACCTGAGTGACCACGTGCGCCCTCGTGTTGTTTACTTTGACTGGACCCAGACCGTCCGTGGGCTGACCCTGACTGCCTGACTGAGTCTCCTGATGGTCCTTCACTGTCACTGGCCTGGCTGATACTGGATCCTCGGTGTCTGCTGTTACTGGGTCCAGATGAGGTTTGTCCGTGCCCGGTCGCTGAGTGTCCGGAGCTCTCTTCCGCCCGTTCATGGCGGCGTCCCTGTCCGTGTGTACTGCTGGACCCTGACTGTCGTCCACGGGCAGACTCAGACTGCCCGCGGGCGGCTGCTTGCCCTTGGGGCGACCCCGAGTGCCTCGAGCTGTCTCCTGACTGTCCGTGGGCAGACGCATGTTGATGCCTTGAACTGGACCCAGGCCCCGTGTGGGTCGAGGCGGACCGCCTACCTGGCTCCCCAGACTGTCTTTCGCTGTTGCTGGCCTGAGGACTCTGGGTTCCCTGGTGGCTGGTTGACGTGGCTCTGGAAGACGATGGTCCGTGGCCGGTGGCTGAGTGTCTGGAGCTGTCTGGTGAGTGCTCAGGTCGTGGTTCTTGTCTCCCTCTTGAGCTCGATCCTGACTGCCCATGGGGTGGGACGTCGTGTCCTCGAGAGGATGTCTCTGCTTGATGAGACCCCCGATCGCCTAGAGCTGTCGGCAGACTGTCCGTGAGAAGGTCCTTGTCCCCCCCTGGCACCGGAGTCCGAGTGTTCGCGGGCATCCGCAGAGTGGCCACGAGGGGGCTCTCTGCCCTTGACGGGTACCAGAGCGTCTAGAGCTGTCTCCCGACTGGTCACGGGCAGGCTCACTGTGGTGCCTTGGACTGGACCCGGTCCTGTCACGGGTGGAGGCGGAGGGCCCACGTGAACCTTCAGACTGCCCGTCGCTGTCGCTGGCCTGAGTACTGTGGGTCCCCTGGTGCCTGGTTGCCCTGGATCTGGGAGACGATGGGCCGTGTCCAGCGTCTGAGTGTCTGGAGCTGTCTGGTGAGCGCTCATGCCGGGAATCTTGTCTCTCTCTTGAGCTCGACCCTGACTGCCTGTGGGATTCTACTTCGTTTGAGGTAGAGTATATGTTTCCTTTCATTCCCGTGTTAGGCCTAACTCTTGACACTTTCCTTCTTTCTTCTTCTTCATTAGAACTTGACCGCCTTTTCTTTTTGTCTCTCGATTCATGTTTGTTTTTTTCATATTTGTCTGGGTGTGTGTCAGTTGATGTATCATGTTTTTTACTTTTTCTTTCAGAACTGGACTCTTTTCTCTTTTTTAGTGTTTCTCTTGGTTTCTTAAATATTTCTTCCTCTTCTTTTCCTCCACGTTTTGAGTGACCGAATTTTTTCTTTTCATTTTCTTCCTCACTTCCTTTTTCTTCTTCTTGTTCTGTATCATGTTGTACCTGTTTCTTATAGTATCCCTTCTTTTTCTCTTTTTGTCCTGATGTTTTCATATTCTGTCTTACTTTAGATTCATAGTATGCCTTTGCCAACTTGAATACCATAAGAAAAAATTCTGCAAAATCCAATTTCTGATTGTGGTCTACATCAAGGTTATCCATGAAGATATCAACAATGTCTGGATCATCTGGATTCTGTACAGAAGATATACAGTATGGAGAGTTTATTAGGCAGATTCATATGGGCAATTAAGTAACTCAAAGTCGTTGTAGGGATTGTGAATTTTTTCAACTTAATGGGAACAGAATCTTTTTTTTTCTTAAAGCAATTCAGCTGATTGTGACCTAGATGAAAACTAAAGCTAGTAGCAGAAAAGAAAGAAAGAAATATATGTGGAGACATGAAAGTAATTCATTCCAAGTTCTTTTTTTTTACTTCAAATATCAATGTATTATAAAGCCCATAATTGAAGTACCTTTTAAACATTATGTCTTAATATTGATGATGTTGGAAGACTATTTTGAAATTCTAATTAAGTGTTTATTTATTTGTCAGTAAATATTCATATTATTAGCCTTCAGATAGGGTGTGTGTGTTTGTGTGCACATGCAACCCTCCACATTTATGTGTATAGCAGGTATAAAGTTATAAAGGGAGGAAAATTTTATATGTGTTTTGAAATAAGATTAAGGGTTTTTAATTTCAAATGATATAGTTCACAGAAGTTCAGAATAATCCTTTTTGATAATATTAATGTATAACAAAGCACTACACTCTTTAGGGCAAATATCTTTACCTTCAGGATTGGGCGAAACTCTTTTTCCAGAAGTTCCTTCAGCTCTTCTTTGCTTAGTGTGTCAGTATCTTTATCTGTTTTTGAATATTGTTGGAATAGGTCAATGATGGCCATGATGTTTTCCAGAAGAGTAGACATCTTTTGGAAATATAGGTTAACCTAGGAAGAAGAAATAAAAATACACGTTTCTTGTATTGTTTTTCAGGTCATATCAATTATTACTGTGAATTTCCACATTAAGACATACATCGTCTCCTAAGTAGTTCATCTTTTAAATTCGAATTTGGCCACAAAAACTTCCCTTTACCCTCTACATAGTGAAAATCAACACAGAGTTTGACTAAATTAAAAAAACTGCCAATTTTTTGCTCATGCTCTCATTCACAACAGGATTTAGAGGGTCTCGTAGATGTCAGTGGGCTCTAGATAAGACTATCCTTGTTGATCTGGCTATTATCCATAGCAGGATAATAGAAAAGCCCACTGGTCAGAAGCAGGAAAATTTACTCATGCCAATATGCTGAAAATTAGTTCTCTATTTTCAAGTGATCACTTTGTTGAGAGACAGTTTTCGGAAAGCCAGGCAGGTGAGGCTGTTAATAAACAGTCGTTCAATTTACTTTTTTCCCAACAGTTCAGTATGGTTGCCATATTTTCTTTCTTTCTGTCTGTTTTAATCCTTGCCTGAGGATACATTTATTTATTTTAGAGAGAGAGGAAGCAGGGATGGAGAGAGAGAGAGATGTGAGTGAGAAACATGAATTGGTTGCCTCCTGTACGTGACCTGACCAGGGATTGAACCCCCAACCCAGGTATGTGCCCTGACCTGGAATTGAACCTGCGACCTTTCAGTGCATGGGATAGTGCTTCAGACAAGAGAGCCACACTGACCAAAGCTGGTTGCTGTAGTTTTAATTGGGTAGGATGATTTGAATTCCTTTTCTATAGTATAAAATTTTTTTTGTTGACTGGCTTTTATTTTGCGACTTAAGGAATAGCAAGTAAGGACTGTTCAATTTATCCAGTCGGTGATTAAAAATTTACTAAGCATCTTAATAAATCTAAACAAACATTTCTTGCATAAAAACATTATAATGACTACTTTAGAAGTTATAAAACCAGACCAAACTAAAATATTGTAGGAACTAATAATGTGAAACACATGACTAGTAGTGATAGCTAAAGCACTTATGGACTTTGTTTGTTAAGAGGAAGTAGGTATTAATTAGTTTTTGACATGGTAAAACATGTATTTTGGTAAAGTTAATGGGTAATCACTAACAGAATATAATTTAAAACTTCTAAACCATTATAGAGGAAAGAGGGGATAAAACTTCATCAATTCAATAGAAGACAGAAAAAAAGAAAATAGCAAGCACAGGAAGGCAGGTTAAAGATAAAGTATAAAATAAGAAAGTAGTAGACTACATGTAAGTTTACCATTAATCATAATACTTGTAAAGAATATTCTGTGTTTTAGGTCTTAAAATGTTTACCACCCAGTTGTTGTTGTTGTTATTGTTGTTGTTGTTTGCCCAGCTTCTTGATTTTCTGTCTTTAAAACTTTACTAAAACTGATTTTCATCAAATAACCTATGTTTTCCAAGTTGATGAATACAGTGGTCAGTTCCTCTTCCTCTTCTTACTTAATCATTCCTTCCTGCATAGAATTTTTTTGTTTCTTGGATCTCATGACACCACATTCTCCTGATATTCCTTTTACATGTTGCTACTCTTCCTAAGCATTCTTTGCTATCCTTTTATCTTCTGCTCAGTTTCAAAAGATTGGAAATCTCCATGGCTGTGTCCTTGACATTCTTTTCTTTTCTTTTTTAAATCTCTACTCATCTTTCCTAGGCAATGCCATTGGATACCTTGACTTCAGATATCCTCTACCTAGTGACTTTCAAATTTATACTGCCATTCAATGTCCTTTCCCTTGAGCTCTACATTGATTCAATTATGCTTCAATTTATTTAACAAATATTGAACATCTACTAAAGGTTTAGGTACTCTTTAAGCTGTGGGATTTCAGTAGTGAACAAGGTAGATAAGGTGCCTATTTTCATGAAGACAGTACACACACAAATGAATTAAACAATTAAATATAGAGATGTGATATATATATATATTTACAATTAAAATAATAATGGTGCTATATGAATTTCAGAGGTATTTTAGACCAAGCAGAGGTTTTGTAGTAAAGGAAATATTTTCATTTAAAATGGAAAGCCAAGAAGGAACTAACTTTGTTGATTAGTTGAAGTATTTGGGGTAAAAGGAATTGTGCAGTGTTTGTAACATGGGAACCAGTTTTTCATGTTTGCAATAGAGAAAAAAGACCAACCCAGAACATTGGCCAAATGAGGAGTGATATAAGTTAAAAGTCAGAGATATAAGCATGGTCAGATAATAAAGATCTTCTAAATACGGTAACATAGGTGCACTTCATTCTAGGTGTGATGGGAAGTCACTAGATCATCTAATATGACTCATGTTTAAAAAGACCACTTTATGCATTGGCTTATAAGGCTGTTTCAGAACAACATTTCTTTGACAACAGCTAGAGAGCTGGTATGTGTGTTGAGTTTGTGTGAGTGAGTGTAGGTATCAGAATGCTATCAAGATTGTGACAGTTATTGAGACTTACATTCAGCTTGTAAGTGAAGTACAGTATTGGGGAGATTTTTAAATAATGAGATTTAAAAAAAACTAAAAAGCTATCAAGACAGAAATTCAAAATATATTATAAACTCTGAGCAGATATATGAAAAAAAATACCTACATACCTAATAATAACAATAACAGCAACAAAAATCTCTGCTGGACACTTAAAGAATGAGGAAATCTTTAAAGTAGCCAAAGAAACACACATATTATTGTGAAAGGAGCAACAATAAGACCAACAGCTGGCTTTTAAAATGAAACCATAGCAGTCAGAAGATGACAAAATATTTATTTTCATCTTTCTAAAAGAATGTAAGTTCTATTCTAGAAATACATACCCAGTAAAAGAAGCCATCGAAAGAATGCTTAAGTTACTAAAGTGGGGATATTTTCAAGCCAACAAAACCAGAACCAGTCTGCTATAAAGGAAAGATTAAAGGATGATTCTAGCTGAAAGCTCAGAGAAGCAGAAAAGAATGAAGAAAAAAACAAAAGAGTAAATATATGGGGAAATCAAGTGGCTCTTGATTGCATAAAATACCATCATCATCATAATCATCATCAAGTCCTTCAGGATTTAGGATTGATAGAGTTAAGATACAGAGCAGTATCAGATAAGGCTGGAGGAGATAAATGGAGTTCAAGTATTTTAGGGTATTTGAGTGTTTGAATTTGCTTAATGTATTTTTTAATATACTCAGTAAGTCATGCTATTCTCTCCAGGGTAAGAATAAAAATAAGAGTAAGGAAGTACATAATTAATAACCTAATATGTGGAAAATTAACTGACAAATATTTAATTCATTTAAAAGTGTCAAGAAGAGGAAAGGAAATGTAAAACAGGTGGGATAATAGAAACCAAGTAGTAATATGGTATATTTAAATCCAATAGTACAACAGTAACAGTTAAATACTCTAATTTAAAAATAAAGATTGTCAGATAAAAACGCTTAAGACAAAGGACACAGTATGCAATCTCTCTCTAGAACATGCCAGTCATTTTATCACTTCATCTGGTTTTCCTGATGGAAGCTGCTAGGAAGGAAAATGATAGAAACTAAACATCTTTTTTTTTTTTTTTAATTAATTTATTTACTTTTTAAATACATTTGTCTCTGCCTTCCCCCCACCTCTTTCCCTTGCCCCCTCCCACCTTCCCTCCCTCAGCTCTTCCCCTTTGGTTTTGTCCATGAGTCCTTGCTATATGTTCCTTGACTTTCCCCTTCCCTTCCCTTTCCCTGCCCCCCCCTTCCCTCTTGTCTCTGTTGATTTCTTTTCCTTTCAGTGTTGCTGGTCATATTTTCCTTGCTTCTTTGCATTGTTGGTTAGGTTCCGCTTATAGGTGAGATCATATGGTATTTGTCTTTCGCCCCCTGGCTTATTTCGCTTAGCATGATGCTCTCCAGTTCCATCCATGCTGTCGCAAAGTTTAGTACTTCTTTTTTTCTTTCTGCTGCGTAGTATTCCATTGTGTATATGTACCATAATTTTTTGATCCAGTCATCTACTGATGGGCATTTAGGTTGCTTCCAACACTTGGCTATTGTAAATTGTGCTGCTATGAACATTGGGGTGCATAGGTTCTTTTGTATTGGCGTTTTGGTGTTCTCAGGGTATAGTCCCAGCAGGGGAATCACTGGATCAAAAGGCAGTTCCATTTTCAGCTTTCTGAGGAAATTCCACACTGCTTTCCATAGTGGCTGCACCAGTCTGCATTCCCACCAACAGTGGACTAGAGTTCCCTTTTCTCCACAGCCTCGCCATCACCTGTTGTTTGTGGATCTGTTTATGATGGCCATTCTGACCGGTGTGAGGTGATACCTCATGGTGGTTTTGATCTGCATTTCTCTGATGGCTAGTGATGCAGAGCATCCTTTCAAATGCTTCTGGGCCCTCTGTATCTCCTCCTTAGAAAAGCATCTGCCCAGGTCCTTTGCCCATTTTTTGATTGGATCGTTTGTCTTCTTGGAGTAAAGTCAAGTGAGTTCTTTGTATATCTTGGAGATCAAACCTCTATCTGATGTATCATTAGCAAATATATTTTCCCAAATGGTTGGCTCCCTTTTCACTTTGCTGATGTTTTCTTTAGCCGTGCAGAAGCTTCTTATTTTGATGAGGTCCCACTTGTTTATTCTTTCCTTTATGTCCCTTGCTTTAGGAGACATATCAGTGAAAAAATTGCTGCGTGGGATATCTGAGAGTTTCCTGCCAATGTTCTCCTCTAGGACTTTGATGGTGTTGCGACTTATATTTAAGTCTTTTATCCATCTTGAGTTTATTTTTGTGTATGGTGTCAGCTGATGATCCAATTTCAATTTTTTGCATGTAGCCATCCAGCTCTCCCAACACCATTTGTTGAAGAGGCTGTTATTGCCCCATTTTATGCTTCTGCCCCCTTTGTCGAATATTAGATGTCCATAGAGACCTGGGCTTCTTTCTGGGCTTTCTATTCTGTTCCACTGGTCTATGGG